GGGCAGGGAGGCAGCGGGAGGCCGGGGGGCCGAGAGCGGCCGCTGGAAACCCTCCCGCAGAGCATCCGCGGCGCGGAGGGGCCCTGCGCTCCCGCGGAAGGCGGAGGCTTGGCCGACATATGGAGGGACGAAGGCTGCTCGTCCAAAAGGGGCTGTTTTCGTTTTGTTCTACTTCTTAGGAAAATTGCTGTCCTGGCTGCGCAGAGGAGGACAGGCCGGCCGGGAGCCAGCGTAATTTTCCACCTTCCCCTCCTGAGCGATTTAACACGCACTTCGGGCTAGGTTTCTTCCCTCTCACTGCTTCCCACTGCACCCCGCCCGTGGGGGACCCGGCTCTAGCTCCGGCAAAGGTCGGGGGGTTCTGGGGCTCCTTTCGCCGTTTTGGGGTTTTGCTTCCTTTTCCCTTCAGGCCTGGGCCACGGTCGCGCGGAGAGAGCAGAGCTTGGCCCTGCGCGGGGGCATAAACGCGGATCTGCACCTTCTGCATAAGGGTCATGCTTTTCATTTGGGATGATGCTGTTTTGAGGCAGGACACCCCTGGAACACTTCCCCGACGGACACCACCCCTACGGTACAGTGCAACAACAGCCCCTGCCCCCGCCCCGTGCTCCGCGGGGCATCGCGCATCGCCGGACTCTGCTTCTTCCGACACGCGTGGTCATCCGTGGGTCAGAGTCATGCATCAGCAAAGTGCGCCCGTGTGGCACTTTCTGGATGGTTCCATTATTAAAAGTTGTTTTCCTGCAGCAGGTCCGGTCTCCGGTTCAGCAAAGGGGGCGCCAAGGGAGGTTGGCGGTTTGGTTTGGGCTTGGTTTGGCTGGGATTGCATTGTTTGGGTTTTGCTGGGCTTGGTCTGGTTGCATTCATTGCAGTTTGGTTTGGTTTGGTATGGTTTGGTTTGGTTTGGTTTGGTTTGGTTTGGTTTGGTTTGGTTTGGTTTGGTTTGGTTTGGTTCGGTTCGGTTCGGTTCGGTTCGGTTCGGTTCGGTTTGGTTTGGTTTGGTTTGGTTTGGTTTGGTTTGGTTTGGTTTGGTTTGGTTTGGTTTGGTTCGGTTTGGTTTGGTTTGGCTGAGTGGACTTGAGTTTGGTTGAGCTGGATTGGGTTTGGTTGGACTGCGTTTGTTTGAATTGGCGTTGTTTGGACTGCACTTGGCTGGTTGAACTGGGTTTGGTTGGGTTTGCCTTGGGGGGCTTCTCCCTCCTCACTTGCCTCACTGCACCTCTGTTTCTCAGAAGGCTTCCCTCTCTTCTCGGGTAGAGGTGTGCTTGGGAGGACGTGTCTTCATTTTTGTAACAATTCCCAATGATTTATAGACTGAATCTTAGTCTATACAGCGGTAATAAATCTGAAAAGGAAAAGCTGGCAGAGACTGAACTTCATCACCTGATATATGGCCCAGGTGGTTTGGCATTGGCTGCAACCACCGCAACCAGCGGGGATGGGAGCGCCACTCCAAAAGTAGGGACCCGCTCCAGACACCTGGGGGTGAGACGGCGCTGTCCCCTCGGGGACAGTGAGAGTCTCGCTCTCGGACAGACGCGTCTCTTCTTCACGAGGCTGTCACTGGCGTGGCCAGCGCTGATTTGTTTCTAAGCTCCATCCTTAGTTCTGAGGTTATTTATAGCAGGAGGAAGTGGTGCGGTTTTATTTGCGGGTTTCCAGCGTTTTACACATCCCTGACGCAGTCCCCAGCCGGCGGTGCCGGGAGCGCGGTGGCTGCGCGGGCGCGGAGCGGCGGTGCCCTCCGGCCACCCCACGCGGAGCGTTCCCACGAGAAGCTGTCCCGCCACCCGGGTCCCCGCCGATGCTCCGCGGGTCCTGCTCGCCCCGGCCCTGCCCTCCCCCTGCCTCTGCCCGGCCCTTCCCACGCCCACGCAGGTCGCGGCTCCCCAGGGACGTCCTGGCGGGGTCTCCGCGGCCGGGCTGCTGCGGCTCCTGCTCCTCCCCGCAGCTCCTCAGCCCCCCCGAGGCGGTGGGAGAAAGCGGCACCCGAGCCCGGTGCCCCCGTCCTGCCCAGCCTGTGCGGCCGCTGGGCCGCCTCCAAGCCCCGGGAAGCGCAGCCGGCTCCGAGCGGGACATCAAGGATTGCCGCGGGTCGTGCCTGGCCGAAAGGCGTGACGTGAGGTCAGCGAGGCAACGAATGACGTCACGCGAGCGGACCGTGACGTAACGCCTGGTGAAGGAGCTGCCGGCGGAGAGATGTCCTCGCCATCCCGCAGCTGAGCGCTTGGATGGGAGGGAAGAGGAGAAGCGCAGATCTGGGGGTGACCGCCCTGGAGGCGCGCTCTATCGTGACATAAGTGTCGGGAGCAGCAGCGGGAATTACCGGGAGGATTTGGTTCTGCGCTCCAGGACTGTGCCCACTGCACGGAGTGCGGAGTGAGAGGATGCCCTTAAATCCACGAAAGACGTATGAGACACACAGAGGAGACAGATACATGGTATGGATTAGATAGATACAAGATTAGATTAGATAGATTTATGATATAGATATATTCTCCCACTGCCGAGCCGTGCTCAGGTGTGCGCTAAATGCCCGCCCACGCCGCGGCCCAGGCACGGACACTCATGGAGACGGTCAGGGGATAACCTGGATCTGCTCCGGCTCCCGAGGGCCAGCCCGGTGCTCTCTGTTTAAGGGTGGTATCGGGGGATGTCTGCCCCGGTGACACTCCACGAGGAACCGAGGGCAGCGATCGCCTGGAGAGAACAGGACCCGGCGTTACCGCGGTCGCCGCCTCGGCAGAATCACGCCGGTGCCCGGGCAGAGCCTATCTTTCCGTCCAGCGGGGAGGAATTGAACCTAGAACGAATATTTTAAAACTAGATTTTATAGAACAGAATAAAAAACGTAATTCGGTGCATTATTTTTTTAAAAAAAGAAAAATTAAATGAAACGGGAAAATGCTGCCTCCGGCTCGGAGGTTGCTGTGAGCAGTGGGTTTAAAATAGCCGGAGCGGAGCCAGGCTGTTGGCAGACTCGTGGAATCATAGAACCATCAAGGTTGAAAAAGACCCTTAAGGTCAACGCCTCCCTCCCTCCGGCCCGCTGCGCTCCGTCCCCCTTCCGCCGAGGGCGGGGGAGCCCCCGCAGGCCCATCCAGGGCTGCCGCCCACGGAAATAAAGGGAAAAAAGGGGACGGTGAAGGGTCTCAGATACGGCGCACGTTTGCAGTAATACACCTCCCCCCTCCTTGGGAGAAAGGCCGCTCCCACCTCTTGCTTCTCACACTGGAGGAGGTCTCCATCCTTCCCGTGCCTCCTGCATCAGCTGAGCCCCTTGAGGCTCGGAGACCCCGGTAAATATTTGCATTTTAAACCACGTCCATCTTAAACAGCCCCGAGGTTGTCTGGTTCACCTCGGGTGCTCGAAATTCCCTGTCGTTTGCAGACTCCTGAGCGAAGTTCAGCTGGGAGCGGCGAAGGCCAGAAGGACATCAAGATGTCACTTTAAAAAAATTAACAAAAAGAAAGAGAGCTCGGGAGAGATGACCCTGACAGCACCCACATGTGCATGCCCTGAATGATGCTAAAGACCAGAGGTGAAGGGATTTGGAGCTTTGGGCTTCCCACACCTGGGGTCCCCAGGCCTTGCGGGGTGCTGCCGGGGGTGCGGGGCGGGCCCGACTCCATCATCTCCGTGAGGTCGGAAAAATCCTGCGCGGCTGCAACACTGCTTCCCTCCACTTTTCCATAAAACAGTTCAAAAGTTCTCTCCCACATCTTTACTTGATTTGAAAGCAAAATAGAGTGTCAGGATAGATCAGTTAAAATGAGCCAAGAAAGTAGAGAGGAGAGAAGGTCCTTTCCCTAGACAGTCAGAGCCAGGGTCTTCCTCCCATTTCTTTCTCCCCTTTCCTCTCACCGCCGGTACCCGCGGTTCCCACCTTTCTTCTCCCGTGGGATTTTCCACTTCGCCAAGACACCGAGTTGTTATCCAGGAGGGCTAAGGCCGTATCCCGGCCTGCGTGGGCCGCACCGGGGACGGGCCGTGCTCCACACGCCCCTGCCTCGGGACAGGATGCATCAATGCAGGAGAGGGGCTCTGCCGAGGAGGGGTGGGGGTCTCCCACCTCCCTCCCCGCAGGCTGCCCAGGCTCCCGGACTGGCATAGTCGCAGAGACCCCTCCCGAGGGTCAACGCGAGTTCGGCTGCAGCAGGAAAATTATTTGTTATTAATCGTGTGCTGAAAGATGGTGTGATGGGAGAGATGGCACTGCCGCTGCTCCCCGGGCTGCGCTCCCCTGGCCGCCAGCCGGGCCCGGGCAGCGTTCTTATATCCCCCGCAGACTGGAAAATAATGTTTAAAAAGGTTAAAACCAGTTCCGACAGAGCCCACAGCCCATGCACCCCTCCAGGAACATTTTCCCCGTGAGACTGAAATGTGTGGTGGGGTCACTTAGCCCCGCGCAGAAACCCTGAGGAGTGCGCGGGTGCGCATCCACTGCTGGGTGCGGAGGTTCCGCGGGTCGTGAGGCCCAGTCTGGAAGGGTGTGGGGATACCCGTGGGGCTGCCGTGCTGCACGGGGGCGCAACCTGCGCGCTGCCGGCTGGTAGGGGATTACGGAGGGGAGTGAACTGACGGGGTGCTGGCAGCGGGCGGGGGTCCCCAGAGGATTGTCCACCTTTCCATTCGTTTGTGAAATATTTTTAATACATCACCGAGTTTGGGGGAGGAGGCGGGTGAAGAGAAGGAGGAGGGAAGGCACCCCCGAAGGAGCCGCGGCCAGGCGGCGGGGGCCGGGCAGGGGCGGCGGGGGCCCGCGGGTCTGGCCGCGGACGCGCAAGGGGCGCGGATGGCGGGGAGTGCGGAGTTGGGTCCCGCGCGGCCGGGCTGGGCCAGCGCTAGATGGAGTGATGCATGAGCGAGACGGGGAGGTTTTAACCTTCAGGGGGAGGAGCCCCGTTTAACTACAGGCATTTGTTCTAGGGCAGGTCACTTTAATCTCTTTAGCTTTAAACTGTCCAACTCGCAACTCGCGTTTCTCTATAAGGGATCTTTACCACTTCCCTGCCTATGCGGCCGGAGCGCCGTGACTCTCCCCAGCAGAGACAACCGCCTTCCACGCACTGCCCAGATTGCTTCCGACACCCTTAAAATAATACTGTTAGTAATAAGTGGATTTGCTTTTGGTTTTTGTTGATTTTTTTTCTTCTTAAAAAAAAAAGCTCCTTGTTCCTTTCTGTGTGGAATAAACACCTGCAAACTCCCCCAGGCAGCCCGGCGCCCCTGCCATGGATTCCTTTAAAGGTGGAATGAATTTGGAGAGACTGCCTGAGAGCTTGAGACCCCAACCCTCCCATGACATGGCTTCCAGCTTCCATTTGCAAAGATCCTCGGAACCCAGAGACCCGATCGACAACTCAGCCAGTGAATCCTCCGACACGGAGGTGCCAGGTAACCCTCCCCCTCCCCGCGCCCCCGCGGCCCCGGCCCTCTCCCCCCGCGCTGCCTCCCCCTCCCCACCGCGCCTTCCCTCCGCGGGGCGGCCGGGGGTGCCGAGCCCGCGATGGAGGCGATGGAGGGACAGGGGTGAGCAGGAGCTGCCGGTGATCGCGGCGACTCCATCCCAACCGAGCCCCGGGAACCGGAGCGGGGGGCAGGGGCCCTCCTGGAGCTGCCTCCCCCACCGTGCCCGGCGCTGACAGCCCGCCGGGGGGACACATGGCTCCATGGTCCCATCCCAGGAGCTGCTCTCTTTTATTTATTTTATTTATTTTTAAATAAAAAACTGTCGTTATTAATTGATGGGGTCGGGAGGAAGGGGAGGCTCTTCGGGGAGTGCGGTTTTGCCGGATGTTTCTGAAATAATGTCAGCTTTTGCCCGGGTTTATTTTCCAGCTCGGGTGGTGCAGAGATGGAAAAAGATCTCTCTGTCAGCGAAAAGAATTTTTTTTAAAAAGAAAGAAAGGGCAGGCAGAGCCGGAGAGGCAGCGTGGGGCCAAGGCAGGCAGTGCGGGCCGCCGCGGAGGGGATGTGGGCGGCCGCGGAGAGGTTTTGCGTGGGAGCTGAACGCTTTCCCCGCAGGAAAAGGGAAGGATCCCCATGCCCTGACCATCGTGTGCGAGGGCTACAGGGAACGCTGTGCTCTCAGATTGCATTTAATTAAAACAACAACATTTTTAGAATGACAAGGGAAAGGTAGAAGAGAGGAACAAAAACTTAAAGAAGGAGTGTGATATTCCTTCTCCAGCCAGACTGTTTCAGAGGGAGTTTATGTTTTATATAATTTTATTTTTCTAATAGCTATTGTTGCTCTTTGGAATTTTAACCTAGAGAGTAGCTGTTGTAAGAGTCGGTCCCAAAGTGGCACTCGGTGATTGAAAAAGGTTTGGGTTGTACTGCCCGGCCTGATTCGCAAACAAAGTTAGAGACCGGCGTCTGGAAGGGACTCTGAGATTAGAGGGGATTATTGGAGATTAGAGAGGGAGATTTGCTCCATTTTGCCCTACCCCTGTGTGTGACCCCTCGGTGCTGCCGGAGGGCTGAGGAGCTGCCTGCTTTTCTTCTCCGAGAACCTGTAAAATGCCTTTAGATTTTATTTTTTTAATGTGAAAAAAAAAAAAAAAAAAGTAGTTACAAAAGCCGATTAAAGATGCCTTGCCTTATGATTTGGAATTGTATCACAGCCCTGCGCTGAGGCCGGATTTTTAGGGCGGACCGGGCGAGTTAAAAGTCAGCGCTGGGCGAGGGGCCGCGGCCGGAGCCCATCGGGACCGCTGCCGCTCCCCGATCGCCCCGCTCCCTCTCGGGCGCTTGATCCGAGCCGTTCGCGGCCCAAGCGGGAGGATTTGTTTTGGCGGGGGTGATTTCTGTTTCTGTTTCGCCGCCGCCGCCGGGCCATGCGGCTCGGCCGGTCTGGGGACCGGGGGGCCCGGGGCGGTGGGGTCTGCGCTGAGAGGCCTTGGCTTCGCTGCAAACCCCGCAGAGCCATCGGCCCCTTTTGGGGGTCCGCTGAGCAGCTGAGGTTCGCTCGCACCCTCACCCCTTTCCCTGTGCAGGGCTCCCAGCAAGGTGCGATTCAAGGGTGACTTTGCAAGGACGAGTCCTCCCGGGCTCTGCATTCAGCACGAGATTATTTTTAGACTCCCGCTTACCTCGCAGAGGTCGGGGCTGTAGAAATAACCCCGGGCCCGCCGGCGGCGGGAGAAAACCTTCTGTTTAAAAACAAAAGCAAAAACAAACAAAAAACCCAAACCAACAAACAAAAAAAAACTCTTTAAAGGAGGAGAAAAAAAAAAAACAAAACTCCAAGGGCGAAAACTCGCCGCGGTTTTTCCCTTCTGCAGCAGCAGGACCGAGGCCGGGCTTGGCCGCGGCCCCGGCCCTGCACGGCCCGGCCGCAGCTTCCCCGCGCCTCCGGGGCCCAGCCCGGGAGCTCTTTGGTTCAGGGCCTTTAGAGCCGCTCCGAGCGCTTCAGCCGGGACAAACCGGGCCCAAGCCGGGCTGGGAGAGCCACAGAGCCCGTTACGAAAGGGGAGAGGGGGTTCGCAGGGTCGGTATTGAATTCCTGCTCCCAGCCCGCGCAAATCCCGGCCCAGAAAACCCTCCTGGGTGGTTTCTTTTTTCTTTCCTTCTCCGATATGATTTTTGCGGAGGGCTTCGCTCAGCCCTGTGTTAAAATAAACACCAAAATCCTAAAAGTTGAAGAATAAAATAATTATGAAAGTAGAACGAAGGAGGGGAGCAGAGAGGGGCCTTTTGCAATTAATTGCTCCGGGGTTTTCCACCCTTGCCCTTCCAAAGTTTCCTGTCGCGGCCGAGCACAACAAAAACAATGGAGCAAAGATCACGCCTTGGTTCGGAGGGAGCGAGAAGGTGCCGTAGAAAGGCGGAGCGGCCGGTGATACGGGGACCCCGCTCCCCACGAATGCAGTCACCCGTCGGGCCCGCTTTGAGCCGCTCTGAGGGTCCCTCCTGCTGCATCCCTGGGTGCCCTGGGCCCGGCAGGGCTCCCTGCTCCTTCCCCAGCCGCGCCGGGAAAGGCCGGGATGGGCTGTGGGGCGCTCGTTTGGTGCAGGGCTCGGCGGGACACAGTGGGGCCCCCACGCGTGTCTCCGGTGGGGTGGGCAGCGCTGACTGCGGGGCGGGGATATCTGCCTTTGTGTGTCTGTACTGGGAAAAAAATTAAAGCACAAAAACACAAAACAAAACAAAAATAAACCAACCATCCCCAACCCGACCCCTCGCAGAAAAAGAGCGTAGCGGCGAGCAGAAAAACGAAGACGGGGCCGCCGACGACCCGGCGAAGAAGAAGAAGCAGCGGCGGCAGCGGACCCACTTCACCAGCCAGCAGCTGCAGGAGCTGGAGGCCACCTTCCAGCGAAACCGCTACCCCGACATGAGCATGAGGGAGGAGATCGCCGTCTGGACCAACCTCACCGAGCCCCGAGTCCGGGTAAGAGGGGCTGCAGCCCCGCCGGGAGCGAACTCTGCTCCGGGGCCGCCGGAGCGCGGGGGGCTCGGGGAAGCCGCCCCTTCTGGGGAGCGCTGCGACGGATTGCTCTGGGCTGGATGTTAATGGCCAAAATTGGGATCCAGGTCGGAGAGGAGGAATTCAGCTCTCGGCCACGGAGAGATGCCGCCCGGAGCGGGTAGCGACCGCCGGCCCTGCACTGGGGACCGGTTCGAGAAGTGGGCGGCGAGCGGTGCAGGGAGCAGCGGAAGGCCAGGGTGGGGAAGGGTCTGACTGTGGGGGGAAGAACCCTCTGGGCTGGACGAAAAGCGCCGCAGAGATGGAGCAAAATGCCATCCGAGCGACTTCCCCTCGCTCTGGTTATTCCCAGTAATCGCCAGGGCCGTGTCCCAGCAAGCCGCTGCCCCTCGCTATCGCGGCGTGGCGAGCTCCGATCCGCTCCGTGCGGGTCTCGCTGCCGGCCCCTCCCGGCTCGCGTCCCCCAGGCCGCGGGCTCTGCGTGCAGGCCGAAAGCGAAGGACAGGGGATGGGAGCCCTCATAAAATCAGTACGCGCTGAAGACACAAACTTCTACCGCGAGGGCGCTCGATTTTTACACGCCTCGGAGCCTATGCCACCATATATATTTATATATGGATATATGGTGTATATATACATATATAGCATACATATATATATATGCGCCCCTCTTAGCCAGACTCGAGGGGTTTGGTAATGTTAGTACACACGGCGAGAAACATATGTATGTATGTGTGTGTATGTGCATGCATACATATATTTATTTTTATATTTTTATATATAGAGATGTGTGTGTGTGTGTATGTGTGTGCTTCGGCAGTTCTTTACAGAGATTTATGAGCGAAAGATCCTGGCAAAGAACGACTGGGCCGAAGCGGCTCGATCTCTATGGATCTATCACTGTGTCTCGGTTTGTCCATCTCCCAAATGCTTTTTTCCACCCGAGACATTTCCCCGCGGGGTTTCGACAGTGGTCGCACACCACGGGCCCGTGGGCTAAGCGCAGGAGGAAACGGGAACTGCGGAGCGAAGCCCCGCTGCACGGAAAGTGCACTTCTTCTTTTTTTCTTTTCGTTTTTAGTTTTTAACTTGGCAATTAAACCTTGAGTGACCAAATCGGATTACAGAGATTCTGCTTTAAACATTTGAAAAGTAAACACCCATCTGAAACAATTGCGTCTGAAAGCATTGTCTTAATTGAGTTTGAAACAAAACAAAGCCTGAGCATTAATATTGGTTGAATATTTCAGGGAACAAATATAACTAAAATATGAGTTGCAATTAACATAATTTCGTTCTCCTTCTGTGTGGAGATGTTTGGGTTTGATGTTTTGAGATGGCAGATTGCAAATCTAACCTTAATTTGCTATGAGGGCCTTCCTTTAAAATGTCTAGGAGCCATAATTAAAACTATTACCCTCATTTTCAGGAAATTCCTGTCTGGAAGCACCTTCCGAGGAGTATATTACAGGTTTTGAACATGTTGGCTTTCGTTTCCTATTTATACAGGATTCTTTTTATTATTGTTATTTTTTAAAATAGACTCCGCCATCCGTTCCCCCACGGAGTTTCCATCTTTGAGCCCGGTATTTAATAATAGTTGTGCCATTTCTGCGCCGGGAGGGGAGGCCCCAAGAGCCGCCCCCCGCCCCCACCCCGGCTCCGGAGGGAGCGCAGCCTGCGCGGGGCCGGGGCCCCGGTGTCCGCAGGGAGCTCGTGGGCCCCGGCTCGGTGGGAGAAATCCGGGATGCGGTGGGGAGGATGCTGCAAGGGAGGCTCGCAGCCCGGGCGCAGGCAGCGGCAGCAGGATGCAGATTTTTAACCAATTTTTAAAGGTTTTTGAAGCTGTTCGGCTTCAATCAGGGGAGACTCAAATGCTTTCCTAGGGATATATATATATATATATAATGTATAAAAATAATCAGAGACTGGAACCGGTTTTCGCATCAAACATCAGGACCAGTCCCTCTTCTCTGTTTCCTGGTTAGGGCTGTAAATTCTCCTTAGATATAAAGGCTGCATCTATCCAAGGGCGATGCGGGGATTGATTTTTTTTTTTTTTTAACCTAAACATACTAATCTAATCCCTTTTTTTATGATCTGTAACAGGGGACTTTTATTACACAGCATTAGCTTTCGGAAACGCGGCAGAGCCGGGGCGAGCCGGCCCTAATCAGAGCGGGCCGTGTCTTCGCCCCCGTCTGGCTCCGGGACGGGGGCGGCGGGGGCGCGGGGGGCCGCGGACACCCGCGCAGCACCGGCCGTGGCACGGAGGCGGCTGCGCGCATCCCGGCCGGCGCACCGCGCTGAGCGGAGAGGGATGCGCGCAGAGCCCGTCCCGCGGGCGGGGGGCGGCGGGGACAGGCGGTGCGGGGACAGGCGGTGCGGGACAGGCGGTGCGGGGACAGGCGGTGTTGGACAGGCGGTGTTGGACAGGCGGTGCGGGACAGGCGGTGCGGGACAGGCGGTGTTGGACAGGCGGTGCGGAGCCGCGGAGCCTGCTCCGGTGCTCCGGAGGGGCTGGCCGGGCCGGGGGGAGCGGGCTGCGGTACCTGCGCTCCCCTGCGCGCTTCTGCGCACCGTCGGTGGGGTGGGGGGCTGCTGCGGCCCCCCGCACTCACCGAGACGTGTCGCTCCCCCCTCCCCACGCAGGTTTGGTTCAAGAACCGCCGAGCCAAGTGGAGAAAGCGGGAGCGGAACCAGCAGATGGACCTGTGCAAGAACGGCTACGTGCCCCAGTTCAGCGGGCTGATGCAGCCCTACGACGACATGTACGCCGGCTACCCCTACAACAACTGGGCCACCAAAAGCCTCACTCCGGCGCCGCTCTCCACCAAGAGCTTCACCTTCTTCAACTCCATGAGCCCCCTCTCCTCGCAGTCCATGTTCTCGGCGCCCAGCAGCATCCCCTCCATGAACATGCCCTCCAGTATGGGCCACTCGGCCGTGCCGGGCATGGCCAACTCCGGCCTCAACAACATCAACAACATCAGCGGCTCCTCGCTCAACTCGGCCATGTCCTCGCCGGCCTGTCCCTACGGGCCGCCGGGCTCGCCCTACAGCGTCTACCGGGACACTTGCAACTCCAGCTTAGCCAGCCTCAGACTGAAATCAAAGCAGCACTCCAGTTTCGGCTACAGCAGTTTGCAAAGCCCCGGCTCTAGTTTAAACGCCTGTCAGTACAACAGTTGACGGACTTGACACAAACCACCTCCGACAAAACACCGCCGACAAAGCAAAGCAGAAGCAAAGCGACGTTTAACGGAAAAGAAAAAAAAAAAATTAAACCCGATGATGATTCAAAGCAAAACCCAAGCAAGTGAGAGAGGGGAAAAAAAAAAAAAAAACCACACCCCCCCCCCCCCAAAAAAAACCCCAAAAATTCCGCGGACTTCGATTGTCTAGAAAAAAAAATTAAAAAAAACAAAACAAAACAACGATGCAACCAACAAAGCAGCGCTTTAAAAATATTTTTTAAAAATTAAAAAAAAAAAAATTCCTCCATCTAAAACCGTAAACGGACCAGAAAACTTTTGCAAGAGACATCAAAATCTGGTACATGGATGAGTTGCAATTTTTTTTTCTCTGGATTATGCGGGTTGTATGTGTTTACTTGAACTTGCACAGGAGTCGGTAAGGCGGCCGCTGCCCCGCGGGGAGGGCGGCAGGAGGGGACGCCTCGGTGGTAAGAGCTGGTGGGACGGTTCTTGGCCGCTTGTCGCACGGGAAGAGTTTGGTTAATGTTTACCACTGAGAAACAGAATCACACTCGGAAAAAAAAAAAAAGGGTTTGGGGAAGAGGGGAGGGAAAAAAAAACCAAATCGCAGAGTAGAATCTGCAGGGCGAAAAATGGTTGAAATATTAGGTATGAAACTATTAAAATAATAATGACAAGGGTCAACCACTTATATAAGGTTATATTTATATCTACCGTTGCATTATGCCGGATCATTGTCCTTGGCCGTTGAATAAACTGTTTTTAAAATGCATGATTCTTGATGGTTTTTCTTTAGTTGGAAGCTCTAATCCAGTCATTCCTGATATTAAGCAGCTCAAGGTTTCTACCTCTTCATCCTTTCCAAAAGACTGCAGTATCCCCGGTTGTGAGAGAGCACAGAAACCCTTCAGCAATGCGAAAACTGTTCATCTTTTTCCCCATCCAAAGTCTTATCCTGATAATGAAATTATCATTCATCTTTATTTAAATGCAGGGGGTGTTTTTTCTCTTTGAAAAGTAAAACGGAAAACCAACCCCCGTTTATAAAGTCTCGAAAAAAAGACGAAAAATGGTTTGTTACGAAGTGATTTCAGATACTGCATCTCTGCTAGAGACACAGAGAGCCTCGGCGTCCGGAAAGGTTCTTAGCAAAGCTGAAAGCGTTCCTTGCTTTTCTAAATGTGAAGGAAAAACAAGGAACCAAAAAAAATTCTTAAGGTGTTATTATCTTAAGGTGTTATTATGTAAATATAGATACTTTTACAAGTGCTTGTTGGAAAAAAATAAAAACAACAAACAAAACATGGAAATGATAAATATGATTTTTATTAATACGCATACAAAAGGCATATGAAGTTTAATTGCAGGCATATTTGTTGCTTATTTTTGTCGATACTTATTACCTGTAGATGACAAAGAGACATAAAATGCACACGGTACTTCTTTCCCAGTGTATTTCACACCTGTGGTAAACGTTACGCTGGATGTTTCAATTATGCTGTTGTGGATAAGGATGCAGTATATATATTGTTTTATAAGTTATGTTTTGTGATTTTTTTTTTTTCAAAATTAAGAGCATGGGAATAAAAAAGAAAACTTAAAAAAAAACCTAAACCGAAACGAAATCTAGAAATGCCTTTAATGTTCTTTTCTGGTTGTGTTTAAGAGAGTGACTAAACAAGAAGAAAAGCCACTTTCTGTCCCCCGCCCCGTGGTGACATTTTGGGGAGGTCCCCCCGCTTGCTCCGGTAGTTGCGCCGTCTCCCCGCGTCCCCCGCAGCTCCCGACGGGGAAGGAGCCCCGGTGCCTGTCCCCGCTCCCCGGGGCAGCCCTGGCAGGGGAAACCTTCCCCAGTCCAGTTTTATGGCAGGCTGTTAGGGCTGCTGGCCGGAGCTGGGGATCCAGCCCTCCCTGCCGCTGCGCTGCTGCATCCCACCCATTCCCATCCCGCTCCCTCGGGTTTCTTCCTCCCCGCAGAGTTAATCCCCGCACCCTGCAGCACCCGCCCTGGGTCGCAGCCCTGACCCTGCTCCTTCTCCCGCAGTCCCTCGTCCCGTTTCGCTAAGGTGCGTTTCTCTCTTGTTTCTCCAAATTCCCCGACATTCAGAATTTTAAAGCTTGTTCGATTAATTCTCCCTCTCCTTTAACTTTTTGCAAGCACAAATCCCTCTGATTTAATTGCTATTTATTTCCTATTTATTAACGATTACGATTACTATTAATGTTTTGCCCCAAACGCCGTAACTGATATAAGGAATGAATGAAATATCCGGAGCCGGCGGCAGGAATAGCCATGGCCGAGGCCCTTCCCCGGCCCCAGCGCGCTGTTTGCGCGGCCGCGGATGGCTCCGTGCCCCGCGGATCGCAGTTCTCTGTGCCCCGGGGGCTCCCGCGCCCCTCCGGGGCTGGGGGCTGAGCAAGGGCTTTGTTCTCATCGCGGGGCTCAGCAGAGCGGACCCGAGTCTCCCCGGCTACTCCATCCCTCGCCACAGCCACGGGAGTGTCACCGGAGCAGCACAAGGACTGAATTTCCCCCATTTTCCAGGCGGGAGGGGATCTGCCAGCCCTCCGCTGGGATTTTAGCCAGGATTTTAGGTGTTCATTTTCTCCTGTTCCTGGAGGTAGCACCATTAGCCCTAGGTCAGAGCGCGGGTGCGCGTTTTGCCAAACCCTGCCCCGGGTTCCAGCGGCTGTCGGAGTCCTGAGCCGCCCAGCCCCTCCCGAAACTGTCTGCAGGAAAGAGCAGGGACACAGCCTTCTGTGCTGCTGTCCCTCACCAGCGTCCCCCGCCCTGTGCCTGTCCCACGGAAAGCTGATCTGCTGCTGCTGGGCGACATTTGGGCATCTTGACACATTTATGGCTCAGGGAAAGGAAAATTCCAGGGAGAATGAACAGAAGGCAGCTCCTTCACCTTCCCTGTGCGCTTTTACGGATACCCTGCTTCCCGCAGCCTTTGGGTCTCCCCCGCAGTGGTCAGACCTTGAATTTTTCGGGGGATTGGAGTGTTTGAAGCGCGGCTTTGGACTGCCTTGCCCAAGCACATTTTCCTTCGCGTGTGCCTCTGGAGGTGCCCAGGTGTGTGCCCGCGCTGGGGGCAGCCGAGGAAGGCTGTCATTTAATGGTTCATTACTCCGCACAGTCCCCACGGGGCGAGGGCAGTATAAAACACCGCTCGCCACCACCCTTCTCACTTTAGTTTTTGAACTCCCCTTGCCGGCGTCTGGCTGGTGGGTGTTACCACACACCGGAGGCGATGGTTTTCCATCCCTCGCCCTGCGCATTCCTCCCGGTGCTTTCCAGCGTGTGAAGCTGGAGCTGGAATTCCTGAAGCTGCATCACTTGGATCCCGAGAGGCTCCATCCCGCTGGGACCCTGCCTCCCCGCGGGTGCTGCAGAGTCCCCACACTTCTGCCTGCTGCTTGCAGGCTTTGTCAAGGCAAGCAGATCCTTGGAGCCAGAGAAATACCGGAATGAAGTTTTCCATTTGTTCTGGGTGTGCTGTGGCTTACCTATTAGCATTTCCAAAGCGAAGCTGCCCGGGGAGAGCTTTGCCTGGGTTTGCTTGGGAATGCTGCACGGTCCTGAGAGGTCCCGGACCTGCACAGTGGAGCTCTGGTTGCACCAGCCCAGATGAAGTTCACAAACACTTTATGCCTCAGACTGAGCAGTCCGTTCAAGATTAAATGTCTTCTAATAAAAAGCTGTGGTCAGTTTAATTCTAAATTGCATACTTCTCTTTATCTGTGGCCTGGAACTCAGCAAACTATGCAAAGTCCCATTTAAATTAATAGGATGCTTCAGTACCGATTTTAATGGGGTTTTGTATAATAAAAATAACACCTAGAAATGCCCTAACATTTTGCTGCAATCTTGCAACAAAAGTCAGTGGAACTGGGATAATAAAAATACAGGTTTTATATGAAACCTGTGAAGGGTTTGTCATTAACTTCAGTGGCACAGTTTCAGGCCTTATTATTTTAGTATATGCTTGTATAAGTAAAAATTACTTTATCAATTAAACGAGAATCTGTGACTTTTCTGCTTCAGTCTGGCAACTTGTATGCAAAATATTTAGTTTGATGTTATCAAAACAGCCAAATATACCAACTTATAAACCAGCCCATATACAAAGACTAAGAACAAACAAAATACAAAACTACACAGTGTTTTTGCTCAGTTTGCCCATCAAACAAAGCTGAGTTGTTACTTCTAAGAAAATACTTCATATGCCTCTTTTAATTTATCAAAGAGAACAGTTCTCTGCTCAGACTCATAGAAAACAGTAAAAGCCTCCTTCAAAGTAAAATATATTTTAATTAACAGAGCTGCAAAATAAAATCCACAGCTATGCAGCAAGCCTCCTCTGTGGCTCACCATTGTGTGAACTGCTTGGACAAGCTGCTCTTATTAACAAGCCATGGGCTACGCTCTGTTCCAGACTGATTAAGCAGGAGGGCTGCAAGCAGATTTTCTATCAAAAATGTTTCAACGGCAGCCAGCCTGTTCTTCTGCAGATGATGGGTTTTTTTACAGGACAAAATAATTTGTTTATCCTCAACTCCAAATGCTTTAATGAAGAAAGCATATGCACAAAAAATTTTATTTACTAAATAACTTCCCAACAAATAAAAATTCGCATAGGAAACAAAAAGAAGAAAAATGAAAGAACATATGCATTTGATTTTTTTCTCCCCTTTCTTCACTCAAGCATTTCTTGCAGAAAGCCAGGTAACTATGTTCAGTCTCTGCTAGAGACAAGCAAATTTGCTCACAAATCTTCCCAGGAGATCAGTGGAGCTGAGGGAAGGCTGGTGCCCAGGGGCAAACCCCAGCGATGGAAATGAGGAGCCCAGAACCAGCTCCTCCCGACACCTCTGCTGCTGCAGCCCTGCAATCCACGGCAGCCTGCGATTCCCCCCGGAATAACATGTAAAGCAGCACTCGCTCCGGGTTGATAATTCAAGTCTTGCAGAACAACTTCAGACCTCCCTCGTCAGAAAAAATGCCAGCAAACCTAT